GAGTGGTGTGAATAAAAATGTAAAATAGTCACGAGACAAGTACCTGCCAGGCCTCGCTGCCCAGTAGGGGGTTATGGGTGACAGATGGGCCTAGTTTGCCCACTGACTATGCTGGGGTGCCACTTGAGTGCCTCCTACCCATGTGACATCACAGATTCATGTCTGTTGTATTGATTTGTCGCAAGACAATGGAGTGTTTATTTCATGATTTTGCTGGATATATTGTCAAAATCTAGGAACATCTGTGCACCATGTCAGCTCCAAATACAAGCACTGTCTCAGTGAAAGCTTCTTCAAGCAGTATATGAAAGAGAGAGAGATCAGTGTTGACATTTAAGAAAGTTGAACTGATTGATTAATTGATGAAGATTAAGCCACCCAAGAGGTGGCATGGGCATGAATAGCCTGAAAAGTTGAACTAATTAAGAAGGTGGAGAGTAGAATCCCGAGAAGTGTTGTGTGCGCTGAATATGGCATTAGGAAGAGTGTGCTTTCAGATACTATAAAGGCTAAATCTACCATATTGTACTATTTTTCTAGAAGTGAAAGTGATAAAGCAATATGTAGTACAAAAGTAGCAAGTAAAGCAAAGGCACAAGAGTGTTAATAATGCAGTGTAGCAGTAGTACTAGCAGAAGCATAGACAAAAAGCCAGTGGCAGGCTGGCTACTCATGGAAGAAGCCTGTGAATTTTTCACACTTCGGTGAAAATTCCTGAACAGTGTTCACACACTGATGGATGCTCAAAAGCTTTAAACTCTGCCATGGCATTAGGTACATTAGAGTACATGGTAAAAGGTTACACAGGAAAGGAAAGGGATCCTCTCGGACATAGGTTTGAATCCTCATCACAGCCCTTGTGGATTTGTTCATGGTGAAAGGTGGTCTGCTGATGATGATGGAGCAGAAAAATATTTAAGTAAATTTATAGAGATGGTGCAGAAAAAAGGTTTATCCCCTGAGTAAATTTATAATGCAATTGAGACTGGTTTGTGCTGGTAAATGTTACCCACAAACACTATTGCTCGGTAATGAAGAGGATCCTTCAAGTGGTTATAAGTAGAACAGAGAATTTCTGTGTTATGCTGTGCTAATGCAGCTGGCAAGCACAAATGCAAATTATATGTGATTGGGATTAGCAAAAACCCCAGGGCTTTAAAACCAACTCGAGACAACTAGGGGTCTTGAGTAATATTTGCTGACTGGTTTAATAAGAACTTTGTACCTGAGGTGAAGAAGCACCTCAAAAGTGTTGGCCTCCCGCGTGCAAAATTGTACTGCACCTAGATAATAGTGCAACGAATCCACGAAGTGATGAGGTAATAAATGGCAATATCATTAGTGGGTTTACTGATCCAACTCGTGGAATAAGGGATAATTAAGAATCTTGAACACTACTATAGGAGGATGTTTGCCAGATGTTTCAATAATTAGCCTGGAATAGTTAAGGACTTTATTAACACTTTCGCGCTATCTGAACGCGCCAGCGCGTCCGGTTTCGTCTAACGTAAACGCATAGTGGACATAAAGTTATGTCAACTTTTAAAATATTTGTATAAAATTCAATTTTTATCCGATTTACTTTGGGTTTGTTTTAAACTGCGCGCTATGAGGCTCTCTTTCTCACCACTAGGCTGCATGGTACAATAAGTTCATGAAAGGTGTGGATAACTTCGATCAAATGGTATTTTGTCTTAAACGGGTTGCAGATGGTTGACTTTAGCCGTTTATACTGGTAATGCTTCCCCCATATCATGTATTATATGCATATGTCTGTTTAGGGAATTTTATTCCAATCAATATACAACCAAAAATAACTGTGTGCAACAAGTATAAACTTGACAAACATAACAAAAGTAAAAACATTTCGTGTGTGTTTGACGCTCACTGATATGTTCCAGCGTTGTTTTATATTTGGCGCTATTCTAACTTACGCTTTGTTGATATTTTTTACCTATGGGCACATAGAACATTCTATTGCGAACACATTGACACAAAAATGAATGACGTACATAGAAAATTAATGTCATGAGAGTGAAATAAGTATAAACTTTCAAAGCGCCGTGCGTCGTCCCGTCACCGATACCGGGTAACAATTTCACCACTTCCCACACTCTTGCGGGCGGGCCGCAATCATTATTCTACGCTTGTATTCATATCACCGTGTTGGGAATTTAATTGCGAGTCCATTGATACCAAAATTAACGCTGTAGAACAAGTGTGGAGGTGATTACAATCCCAAGAGTAAAAACATTTGGTTGCTGATGGGTGCTCACGGCGAGTCATCTTCGTAGTTATTTATTTGGTGCTGGTATCCCTATACGTTTCGTGACTTTTTTTACTGATGTTCTTCTAGAGAATTTTATTGCGAACACGTTGGTACCAAAATGAAATACGTAGCATGAGAACTAAGGTCAGAAGAGTAAAAAGAGTATACACATTTTTGTTTTTACGCTTAAGCGATAAAAACGCAGCGCGCACATTCGGTTGGCTGAGTGACCTTTGCGGAGAGCGCGAAAGTGTTAAAGTCTACACAATAAATTCAGCCATCTGGACTATTGCTAGTGCATGGGAAGAAGTAAACCTAACAACACTAAAAAAACAGCTGCAGAAAACTTTGGCCTACATTGGGTCTGTTTGCTAAGGAAAATAACAAGGCCAATTTTAAAGGATTTGGGCCCAGAAAAGTTAGTGAGAAGAAAAAATTAAGAGAAGATCTCCTAACGCATGTTAGAGGAATTAAGTCCGCAGAACTGAAAGCCGAACTGATGACAAACACTAGAAGATAACATAGATAAGTGGAAATATTATGATGATGAAGCTTCAACCTTTCAAAACATGACTGATGACAGAATTACAGATTTGGTTTCAGAAAAAAGCCAGAGGATGAAAATAATGATGAGGAAGTGTTAAAGGGAAAAGGTAACATGGAAAAGTCCAGAAATCTTTATAAGGCATTTTTGACTTTATGAAAACAAGTAAGAGTGAGTTTAACACTCTGGAGATGATGAGCCAGTACAATTTATATAAGTTGTTGTTTTGCAAACAATAGTGAAGGGAATGAAGTAAATTTCAATTGAAGACCATTTTGCAAAAGCTTCCAAGAAACCTCTCATTGGACCACCTGTACCTGACTCATCATATTATAACCCAAACACATCAACATCTGAGGCTACCTCATCACCATTAATCTCAACTTCAGTCAATCCAACTATCAATATCCACCAGCAGGTCTTCCATCTAAATAACAATGCACCATCAACAATAATCTTCAAGTTAACAAGCAGATCAGAACTTCTTATGTTGGTGAGTACAAACAAAATACTGTTGAACTTTTGCCATAAAATTGTCCAATGTTTTCCCCCCTAGACTTTCAGGATGATGAACCACTTACTTGGACACAACAAGTTACTCGTTCAGTCTCGGTCTCGAGGTATCGGAAAAGTATGTGGCCATCTCCATTTTCCATGGATTAGAGTTGGTTAAGTTTAGTACACAAAGGTTGTAATCTGTCAATTGACTAGACACACCCAACATACTCTGTATGACCTTCTACCATAGAGCAGACTTTCCAGAAATATGTTTCCAAAGTTGTCTTCAATCAGAATCATGTGTGTAACTGGTGGTGGAAATCATCAAAGCAAGACACTGGAAATGGCCAGAAGATGACATAATGGCACATCATGATAGTGGAAATTACCAGAGTATGACAATGGAAATGATAGTATAAAAGTGGAAATTATCAGAGTACATGACAGAAATGATCATAGCATGAAGATGAAAATTATCACAGCATGATACAGTAGAAATAATTAGAGCATGACAGCGGAAATGACCAGAACATGACTCGGTGGAAAAGATCAGATCATAACATGCTGGATATGATCAGAGAAAGCACACTGGAAATGATTAGAGCATGACAGTGGAAGTGATCAGACTTATAATGGCAGCCACTGAAACACGATATATTGGAAACTACTAGATCATGATCAGTAGTGTAAACGAATAACAGTGGAAATGAACATATAATGAACATATAAATGAACTAATAGAAATGAAAAAACAAAGATTTTATTTTTAAACCTTAGGTTAGTCCTGAAACTGCATCACATTTCATTACTAAAGTTTCAAGTTGATATTTCTAGAAATTTGTTAATGTGTTAACATGTACATGTTTTGGTAGTACAGTACAGTCAGGTTTGTTCTCGACACAGTCGAGAATTCCGGGTTCGAATCCCGGGCAGGACAGAAATGGTTGGATGTATTTCCTATCACCTAATGCTCTGTTCACCTAGCAGTGAGTAGGTACTCAGGAGTTAGTCAGCTTGTTGTGGGGCTGCATCCTGGGCGGGGTCAGTAATTTGATCTTAGGGGGGAGGGGGGATCTCGATATAAGCCTAATGTGTATAAATACACTGGCTGCATGTCTCCCCAACACAGAGTTATTCTTATTTACTGTATGTGAACACATCCATGTGAAAGCTTGATATACAAACTAAAATATGAAAAAAGTGGCTTTAAACTGTTAACTGTTTTTTTACGTAAATAAAAGCCAGATTTGTTTAGAAGTTAGTTACATTAAAATATACTTTTGTCAATGTCAATTAAAACACTCCCTGCTAATTTTTTAGTTCATGTAATGGAATCGTAAATTATTAATATACAGTATGTCAATTTCATTCACCTGGGATGTATGGGTCTCGAATCGTGGGCCCATACTTACGTGTGGGGTCCACAGAATACGTAATGATACCACGGATAATGATACCTAATGGCACCACGGAAGACCTAATGATATTGTCCACGGGGTTATTTCCACGGAAGTGTGGATGGCAATTTATATGACATGGACGTGAGTCAGTAATTCCTCTGGGCTTTAGTAGTAGTCGGGGAAAGCTGAAAATTCCTGTTTGGCAGCAGGATGCTGCTTCTGGAAGCTTTCCTTTTTTTAAGACTACTCATAGCCCAGTCGGTAGAGTGTCGGCCTCACACACTGTATGGGTCTAACAGTTCGAGACCCATACAACCCAGGTGAATGGATTGTTTATTTCCTCTGAAGTGTGGATGACAATTTAATATATTTCAACTTTCTTTTGACCTCACAACATGACAAGTGGTAACGCGTCAAAGACACGTATAGATGAGCACCTCCAGCATTGACCTTTTTAAATGGAGGATTTATTGGGACTCAAACAGGACAAGGGTCAAGTAGTTTTGAACAGGATCAACTAAATGGGGAATACAAATTAAATGAATGGGACTAGGATCAAGTACTGTGTCTGGGATCTTGCTGAATGTCTTAGTAGGGTCAAACACTTGGCCTAGACCCTAAAACCAAAACATATACAGTGCATGGAATTAAAATGTGAACTGGATTAATTTTAATTATAAAATTAAGCTAATTACATTTTATAGTGTGTGTGAGATTAATACAAAGTTAATGTTCAAATGATGTAGATCAGGATAAAGTTAACTGACTTAAATATAATGAATGGCATTAAAACAAAAACTCGGAATGACCTGATAAAAGTGGAAAAAGTGAGCAAGATATAGTAGAAATGGGGTTGGCAAGTCTCTAGATGCTTATTGGTGAGGACTGAGCTAGAGACACTGGTCAAGAGTCTCAGGGAGTGTTGACAGGGAGAGGTGAAGGTATGACTTGAGCTGTTAGACTTGTGTTGGTTTACAGGAACGATGAAGTGTGAATTAAGTACCACGACAAATTCTAATCCAAAATACCTCATCATTGCTCATCAACTAACATCTAACTGGCATGTCTCATCTTCAGCAAGGCAGTCATCAACCTACACTCCTTTTTATCAAATTTTATTCACTCCAAGATTCTTCTGCCTTACTTCATTAGCTTCAAGATCATTCCTCAAACAATAATATTTTTATTTGGAGGAAATATATAAACATTAATTCTGAAAGGAACTTTGGATGATGGATTGGTTGTGATATATAGTTAATAAAATATTTGTTCATGGTAAAAAGAGCAGCAGAGAGTTACCATGAGCCCAGATTACATGTATACTCCCACAGCACACTAGACACTCAGGACTATGCACTTGCGGCAGTCAAGAATCATGTGAATAGATATACTTGCCAGTCACTATACACTCTGCAACAACCATATGCCGAAGGAGTACCTTCTATCCAGAGATACATGCAGGGTACGCATTACACACCATACCTGTCGAATGCCTGTTGATGATTCCGAGGATCAATGTCCCCGTTGCCCAGTCTGTGGCCAAGCCTCCTGGTTGGTAGTCTAGTCAACCAGGTCGTTTGATGCGGCTGCTTGCAGCCTGGTTGATCAGATATCCTGAACGTGTTTTGCCACATTCATACACTGAAGAAACACTATGTTCAGGAAATGCCATACACCCAGGGAACACCACACACACAGAAAATGTACTCAACACCAGAGAAGGGATTCACTCATTGTCATTTACTCACTTGAGAGGTCCATATCATACAATTTGTTAAACAAAAACACAAGATGCACATGATTGCTTTCTCATTATTTATGGTTTGATGTTCTAAGTTGTGCCAGTAAGAAACATGATGTAGATATCCATAACATGCTATGGGAAGCACTACATTATCTACAGAGCTCCTATCTGTTGCCTAACTTATGAGTGTACCAAGGCATTTTAGCGCTTAATCTACATCTTGCTAAGGTATGTTTTGGAATGTGTTTTGATTTGGTTTGAGGGTGTATCTGCCACAGGTAAGTTTGGTAGCCTTAAGTTACCACAACATATTCTCTTAAAATGATAGTGCCTATAGCAACTGTTTGGTTGAAAGTGTAAAAATGGACTGTTGCTACCAATAATGTTCCAATTTTGTACTATTAATTTTGTAGACAAAATATGCTAAAAACCAAACTCAAACATTCCTAGGCCTAGGATAGGCCTAGGAATGGACAGGTTAGGTTAAATTATATTTCAAATTTTTAGAAAGTCATTTGGGCTTATTCAGCACGGTAATGCAAAATGTGAACTTTTTTGGTCCAAGAGTTTTCTTGTACATTTGACCAAATAGTCCCTATAAATACTACCATTTTAAGAGGATGGTCTGTTTAGGAGTCATTATGCATAACTAATGAACCGGTTCCCTCACAATGTGACTACACACACAAAATAAGGGAAGAAGTTGTAGAAGCCACCTCCATTCACAGCTTTAAGAAAAGGTTCGGCAAAGATATTAATTGTTAGAATAGTGAAGGTTAAACATAACAGTTACAACAAGGGTAGGAGGCAGGGTATAAAGAGCTAGACCTCACTTCCCCGTAATCACTGATAGGTAAGTACTAATAAGTCAGCATGCACACACATACAAGTACCCTTCAAATTCTAATAGCCATAGGTGCAATTCTCTCAGAGCTATGAAATCCCTCATTTGAAAAAAATACCAAGAGTATATTCACAAAAATACTTGAACCTTTTTGTATACTAATATTATATATATATAATATAAAATACAGTATAGCTAATTTGTTCCAAAGGACACTGTTTTGTTCGTTTTGAAAGTTTGCACCTTAATAATTAGTGGTTAATATTTACCAGTTTGCTTCTGATAAATGACCGGTCAACACACCAGACAATTGGAAGCAGTCAAGAGCAGATTAGGTTAATATTGCTACCCCAACAGAGATGACCAGCTTACCATTACCCCAACAGAGACACCTCTGGTGTCCACACTTCAGCTACATTTTGGTGAATAACAAAAATAAGTAGTGCATGATGCCCTAGTGGCAGTGTGGCTTCCCTCTAACTCATCCCCTCCACCAGTGTCCTTGGTGCCTTCTTCAGGAGCCCTTGGTCGCCTTACTGCAGTAAGGCCTACTCTCCAACGAGTTGGCAGGCTCCTTCGCGTTGTCGTTGGGTTCCTTCACATTGTCAATAGGCTTCTTCACATTGTCACTAAGCTCCTTCACATTGTCATTGGGTTCTTTTTTTTCTGCCATCTCGTAGCCTTTGACAACCGTCTCTAGGAGGAATTTTATGGTGATCCTGTATATGTTGTCCATATTGTCGGTGTAACGGTCACCCAGGGTAAGCCGCACCGCCTCCAAGAACGGGTGCTCAATCTTCTGCAAGAAACAGGTAAGGAGTTCAACTATATAACCACACAAATTCGTCATAAATATTTCAGCTACAATTACAAGTATATTATGTAAGTGTGAATAAAATGTTCAGTATGTTTTAAATTATTTCATAATAAGTGTATTAATTTTAAGTGTTTGTGTTAATCTGAAGTGTGTAAGTGTTTGTGTAAGTGTTAATCTGAATTATAAGTGTAATTCAGTATGTTATGTAACAGCCGCACGAATGTAGAATACAAAGTACTGTACTATAATTATACTTGATATTGTCTCGTTCTTCTGTTTATTCATCTCGGGCTCTGATTCTTTAGTCCAGACCGCTCCAGTCCAGTCCGTCCTGTCCTGTCATTCTGGTCCTATCACTTCAGTCCTATCACTCTGGTACCAGTTCAGGGGGCCGTGTCCAGAGGGACAGTACCAGAAGAACAGCAGATGGAGAGGTTCAGTGGAATATGACCGAAGGACATGCTATGATTGGCAAAGCAGATCAAGACACACAACTTACCCAAAAATACTCCTTCTTGAAGCCCGGGATCTTGTGATGGGATGCCCCGATTTGGTAGAGGAGGTCGAAGAAAAAGTCGACGTTATCCATGGCCTTGATGCCCTCGTCGATGGAGTTCATGACGACCGTGGCGTGTTCAGCCAGCTCCAAAGACTCTGCTTGTTCATCTCTGGTGCGTAGCTTGTTGAACTTGGTGAACAACCCGATCAGTTCAGCGTTGGTTTCAAATAATCTGCGGAGAGATATATAGTTGTTGAACAGTGCGATAACTGAATATATAATAATACAATATCATAATTACACTTTATACTTGACTGATGACATTCGAACATTTCTCGAACAGTGTTTCGCTGATGACTTCTGTTCAAATCGCTTCTCTCTAAGTGCTTCACCCAGTACTACAAATATAAATAATTGCAAAAAGAGCCTAAACAACTAACCTAGTCTAATTTATGCTTAACTACATGCCAAATTACAACGTTTATCTATATACAAGACAATACAGTACTCCAGCGATCATTCATTTCTAGGCTAACTCGTGTCTGGAATGTGTTCGCCCAACACACTGATATTCGTTAAATCAGGTCAACCGAAAACATAAAGGCTCTGGCACACAGTTGGCTTCTGGCTCATCTTGTTCCTTATATGACAGCTACTTAGTATTAAAGTTAGTTTATTCCTAATATATATTTATTTGATGAGCTTACTATTTGTGTGTAGTGAGCAGGTTTCAGAAGCTGATGTAGGATAACGGCTTCTGTTTGCTTGCACCTTGATCATTGACATTCCTCATGAATCCTGTCCTTAAACACTGGAGATAATGTTTTGTCTTCCAGTGGACCACCGTTATGGTCTCCCCCTTCACCCCCTGTACTAGACAGTTTTCTCGCAGATCAGCCCATGTGGCTCATATACATACAAAAAACATTCCGATAAAGACCAAGCCCAGGAACTGGAGACCCATATACCCTACGACTTCCCTTGGATCAAATGTGGAGAGCATTCAGTTACTTGTAGAGTGAAGCCATATATCATAATAGGTGTCTTGCAGAGGTATGATGTGAATCAAACGTGTTCTCAGAAGTTTCAATCCTGGTTACAAAATCATAATTGTTGCTAGGACTGGGCCCAAGAGTTGGAGCCTCATAATTAATAGCCTTCCTCGGGTCAAATGAGCATGATTTACAAAGATTAGTTAAAGGAATTGAGATGGGAACTTATTATTAGGTTAATGAAAGACCCAAGAGCAGGAAGTTTCTTGTTCCAGCACCCTAGTGTCGCAATCCAGAGGGAAAATGCTTGCTGTATCCAGGGCCACGCCCTGCATTTAAAGAGGTTTTAAAAATGTAATTGTCATGTATTAGAGTGCATTGCATGCATGCATTGTCATCTTATTAGTAACACACACACATTCACTTTTGCAAATAGAGTTGTAGACGGTTGGAACCAGTTGGGTGAGAAGGTGGTGGTGGCCAAAACTGTCAGTAATTTCAAAGCGTTATATGACAGTGCTGGGAAGACGGGACACTACGAGCGTAGTTCTCCTCCTGTAACTACACTTGGGTAATTACACACACACACAATATCACTTAGGAAATGGGCAAAAAGATTCTGGATTCGATTCTCACGCAGGATAGAGATATTTGAGCATGTTATACCTGATAATTGTTATTCACGTAGCAATAGATATCCCGGAGTTAGTCAACTATTAGGGGTTGCATACTGGTGGGATCTGTCATTGGTCTAAGAGGACACCAATAAGCCTAACAGGCTTCCTGTCCCTGACAATGGTAAACCATATCAGTGAGAACACAGTACAGTACTGTAATTTCCTTGTAGTTGTGTAAGTGAAACATGGAGTCCGGAATCCGTAGACTCACTCTAGTATTGAACAAAATATAACGGACAATTGCCTACATAATGGTTTCGTAGTTCAGTAGGCTTCGTTCTTCACTTACAACTGGGAGATACCAGATCCATTCCCGGGCGGGATAGAAATGGTTTGGCAGGTTTCTTTCCACCTGATGTGTGTGTTCACCTTGCAGTAAAGAGATACCGGGGAGTTAGGCAACTGTTGTGGGGTTGCATCCTGGGGAGGGTCAGTAGTTCCACCTTGAGGGGGGGGCGACCTCGATACAAGCCTAAAGTGTATATACATACACAGGCTTCCTGTCCCCGAGAAAACTAATTATAATGAAGGCAGACCAACCTACCCACGTTAAGATGGAGAATAAGCAACAATAACAATGAGGAAGTCCTGGAGGCGAGAGACTCCTCAGACTGTGGGGTAAAGTGTAACTCAAGCAGCAAGGAACACAGTCTTCAAGGTCAAGTCTCTGGGTTTGTTGATCACCAATAATGAAGAACATTACACCCTCAGATACTGTATACTCCACCACCACAACCACGCAACCATACTCGCCTGGTTGGGCTTAGGGGGTTGAGCTGCGGCTCTTTGGTCCCGCCTCTCAACTGTCGGTGAGAGAGAAGGGGGGGGGGGAGGGGGAGGAGAGAGAGAGAGGAAGCAAAGCTCTCGCAGTAAAAGAAGTAAATCCTTCAGAAAGAAATAAGTAAAATCCTGTGAAAGAAAAAAATCAACCAGCGTCCCGAAATTCCAGTGAGAGATTTCTTGGGTAGACGCTGCTTAACAAAGGGAAGGAGGAGGAGAGGGGGGGGGGAGCAGGGAGCGCTCTGGTGAGGGGTTGTGAGGGAGGGGGCTGTGGTGGGGCACTGCAAGGGGGGGAGGGAGGGTTAAAGAACACGGGGAAAATAATAGACGGAAGATAGGCGTACAGATGGCAGGGGGAGGGGGGGGGGGGGAAGGTGAGATAAAGGGGTGCAGAGGAACAGCTGCTGGGACTACCTGAGGGAACGGGCAAAGAGAGAAATTATGGAACGGGAGAATAGGGGGGTAAGGGGGGAGTAGTCGAGACGATTTTACTTTAAAAACAAAATGTCAACGGATTTGTTCAGTTTTCATAATAAAGCGACTATTTCCATTTACCTTGGAATTGGAATAAGTATAATTCCTGTGATACAACCATCTTAAGGGTCCAATACCCCGCGCCATTGTTCCAAAAATATAAAAATTCGAACAACATTGAATGTATTGAGACATCTGGCGGCCGGGAAGGGAACGGTAAACTGATGGCTTGTGACGACTTTTACGTTTTCTTAAAGTTTTGAATTTTGAACTACATAAAAGTCTTGGCCCGTTCTTCCGATCTGTTGTGGCTAAACATCAACATACGAACCCAAACAAGCCACACAACTTATCCAGGCCGATGTATAGAAAACGTCAATATTACGGTGCTTTATCTTTCACCAATACGTTCCATATTAACAGCTCGATCACATCCGTAACAAACACAAGGAATTAGGCGAGAGAACAGGAGGAGATCAGCCGTCGGCCCAGTAGTCTCCACCACCAAAGAGATGTTGATAGTCTCCGTCTTATGTAAGACACCAATATTCTTAAGATTCTCCAATGGCTGAACTTCCTCTGCAAGACGGCAATTAGAACACAAGACGCTCGGCCACCAACCAATTCACATATTGCAGGTGGCTTGCACCTGCAGCATGTTCTCACAAGGACAAACGCTAAGACTAGTGTCCCTGTGGCAGTCATTGTCAGTCTGGACCTGCACCAGAGAGCTGCAGCTTCACCCACACACCTCTGTGGTCACGCTTCAATATTACCTGACGTAGGTTAACAACTTTTAACTTCCAGAACTCAGGTTAATGTTTGCCTTTAAGCACAGACTTTCAGAGAGGCAGAGAGACAGGGAGAGAGAGAGATGAGAGGCCCCAGGAGGCAGTGTACCGTCAAGCTGTGAGCGAGAGAGAAGCAGTGTAAAGGTCAAGTCATTATTGGTTGTGGATGTGTATGTTGCTGAGGCTTCCCCACGCTGCCCTCGTCTACACATACACACACACACACACACACACACACACACACACACACACACACACACACACACACACCTAACAAGCTGTTAGTTAACCAAATACCAGAAAACCTGGGACACCAATGCTGATGAACAGTCAATAAAGGAGATGAGGTCACTGGAAGTATTCCAGATAACAACACCTCTCGTGTCACAATATTGTAAGCCACAATAACTGTAATGATCACTACTCTAATATCACTAAAAGGTTACAGCCAGGACGAGCTATGACTTTCCGGCTAAAAATAAAAAATAAAAGAATTTTCAAAGGATCATTCACAGTGAAACAAGCAACAACCTGACTATGTCATGGGGGAACAGTTCAGTGAAAGTGATGAGGCTATGATTACCCCCCCCCCCCCTCCCCCCATCTTCCACACAACATCCAGACAAAACTCCAACAACATATACATATATTTTCACACATTTTAACATAATATATATAAATATCCTTCAAGAGATGGCCAGAGACATCCCACTAAGATAAAAAGTACAAGTAATGGAAGATTACAATCATAGCTATATTGACTTATAAACATTGACCTGTGAGTGATAGCAGAAACATGAAGATAACAGCTTATACAATGTCAACAGAAGCCAATGACTACAGTGTTTATCTAAGAATATATAATATCAATTAAGACAATAGAAAAAGGAAGAGTAAAAGATTATTATTTCAGAAACAATCACCAGAATGTTAGATAACTTCCAGAGAAAACTGGTCCGAAATAAGAACAAGAAAATAAAAACAAAAGCACTGACTCAAGGTTCAAGACTCGGCGCTTGAAGACCAAGAGCAGCACAACATGTTGCAACATAATCCAGTCATAACAGAAATGAATGATAATATATATTAACAATATAATCTAGTACAACATAAACTAGTACATAGCCAGGAGGACAGTGGCTATGTCACCCACATCACCCACTGGTCTCGGACAGTGGGTGATGTCCGAGTCCAGCTACACTACACACACTGGGGGCACACCAAGAATACTTTCTTAATCAAAGCTTACAGAAAGTGTTAAAGCAGGAAGGTGAGGTGCACTGTGGCCCAGAGCCCTACCAGAAGAGACGCCTATAAAGGACTCACAGAAATGCTAGTGGAGACAATACCATCACTACAAGAAAGGGATGTGATGAAGGCCACAGGTCCAGTCAGTCACTGTGGGTCACTAACCATCCGCTCCTCTCATACACGCTATACTTCCCAACGTCAGAGTATTATGTAAACACAACCAGTGATGGCTATGAGGCAGGTCCTTCATCTCTCTCTCTCTCTCTC